TAAGAACAAATAGATGATTCAAATGTGTTAAATACATCATTCAATGTTATAAATTAAATTATAGCTTAGCAAGGAAATAAAATTCAAATTTGCATTGTTGATAAATGTTTGGCTGTAAAAATAAATAAAAGGATTAAAAACAAAATCAGTATCTTATACTTTTAAACAAATATGTCAACTTTCATGTTCTCAAAATTTTACTTTGGTGCATCAGGCCAAGATGTGCACAACTATAGATTACACATTTAATAGATAAAAGGAGAAAATGTCACCAATCTCAACACCTACATAGATATAATGTGTAAATAACATATACAGTAAAGCAAATCCATTAAGACTGAGATCAACCACAAGTCTCTCACTTCTGTTATAATAATGTTTTAAATAATCTATTAAATATTTAGTCACAAACAAAAGTACCCATCCGCTGTGATGGAAAAGTTTAAGTTAATGATCAAATTAAATTATTTTTGTGGACTTTTATAAAGGTTAATTGTGTTGTACTCTTGGTTTCACTTAGAGCCAATGCTCTAAGCTACTTACAAAAAGTAATTGTTGAGCATTTCAGTCATGCTAAGAGCCGCTCAACAATAACATACGGTAAATCTACATTTTTATCATTGAAGTATCTTCACAATTTGAAATGTGAATGATAGTGTGATTAATTCCTAACAATTTAGTTTAGAATATAAATAAAGCAATACCAATGATTTCTTCTTTTTTTTATTTCAATCCCATGATTTTTCTTTATAAGCACCAGCATTAAATTTACATAAAAGAAGGAAAACCTAGCAGTTGAGTAGTAGCTGTAGTGTGAGACAAGGCAAGTATGTTTTGGAATTTCTCTTTAGACATCAGTCTCAATTTGTACACTTCCAACCCTAAGTTCTCAAAATAATTAAGGTTATAAAATCCACATATTTTAATTCCTACTTACAAAACTGAAATAAAACTAGAAGAGTTTAAAACTCTTCTACACTACACTAGCTAACCCAGTTACTTTATATGTAATACAATTGGGTTTAAAAGTATGAACCCAACAATCTGACAATGTATAACACACTATTATTGGCTTCAGTTAGTTGTGTAAAAGTAATAAGGAGTACAGTTCCATATGGCAACTACAAACAAACATATATATAGGAAACTTGTATGAAACTATCCACTACTATATATTAGTATCATAACATAGCCTGGCATTAATCTGTACAAAAGCTCTACAAACTACTTTACAGAAATGATTATGAATGCAAAACTCCTTTTATTTTGTGAATAATTATGGACTTCTAAGTGCCAGTTTAGTGTTAAAACCATGGCTTATAAAATATTTATCATTCATTAATATAAACAATACATCATACAATCCAATTATGTGTTTTGACACAAACTACCAAAATTCAGATAATAAAATCAAAATGTTCAAATCAATTAAACTAAATGATTATTAGATGTTAATTTTTCTGTTTCACAGTGATATGTAGATACTGTTGAGCTTCTAAACATTTATGCTGTAATGAAAGAAAAATACTCTTTGAATCGTGTACACAACTGTGTACTTTTAATGCATTAATATTATCCATAAAGTAAAATAATTCTCATTTTTCTCAAACACTTTCCATAGGCAACAAATTTGAATAAGGTAATAATATCCCAAAATAAAATAAACCCCAATTTTCTAAACTTTCCACAGATTACATTATCTTGTGGTTACTGAATCATCTGCACAACACGGTGTAAGTTTTAAATGTTTTATTTTAAAACATCACAGTTGAACTCTTCTATAGTGTAGATATGTATGTACATTTACAGAGGAAGTATTTGGCTATTTACAACAATTTTGAAATGAACAATAGAACACTCTTATGAATATTCATAGCATGTAAAAGGAAAGTGTAATTTTTAAGGTTGAGTCCCCTTTTCCAGGATTGGTAGTTACTGTAAAAATTATTTTTTACCTCTAGGCCTCAAAGGCTATATTGCAGTCACAGCCTACTTACACATAATTTTTCATAGAGTATGTTTTTATAATAATATTTTATATGATATAAAATACACTCTAGAAATAATTTATATATCATTAACATTTTTAAGTACCAATTTTTTGATGTTTTTATTGTTTATTGAAGTTTGATTATTAAACTTACATTTGTAATTTACCGCATGGTTGGAAAGACTGCTTTGACTAAATGTACAAAGAATACAGCTTTGCAAGTATATGTCTCATGATCAAAACAATGAGAGTTTCATACATGCCAATGCACCACAATATGAATTCAGGAAAGTAAGAGGTGTAAATTTACAAATGTGACACATACAATGTAGGTAAAGTATATTTATGGTTTACTTAACATTGAAGAATAAAGTTATATAAATTATAAATTACAATGTAGTACAGTGCAAAAACAGATCTACAAGTTATTCAACATTAAAGAATACAGTTATGCAATTATAAGTTAGAAACATAACATAATGTAGCAGTAAATTTGCACTTTATTTAATACTAAAGTAGCCCAAAAGATGGCAGTCAAGGATTAGTGACAGTGGCAGATAGCCTCAGTAGATTCCCCATAAACCAAAAGCAGGGAAACAAATATAATGCCCCTACAGCTGAAGGTTTTGCAAGTTTAGTGGCAATGGAAATTGCACCTGGGACCCTTGAATCAGAAGGTAATCTTCCTTTATAAAAAAAAAAAGAAATAAGTATTATAAATCTAAAAATCAGGTTTTCATACTCTTACTAAGCACAGCACAGATATCCTATTGTGAACAAGTGCAAGTCCAAATGGGGTGGAGAATGATGAATTCTCAGTCATTTAGAAATGTTCAAACCACAGGACAGTGAGAGGTAAAGAAACAGTAAAATACAGTGCAGCAAAGGGCATACTCCACTGATCTATCAGAATCACTGAAGGGGACACAAAAAGACATATCCAGAGGAAAAAGGAACACTAGAAATAGTGACAATCAATGCTTTATTAAATATTCAAATTACTAGAATTTAATAACAATTGGCCAACAGGAAAATAGTGGCAGCAACAGTACCTAATCTACATGTAACTATCAGAGTACATTAATTTTAGTGTCATTCTTGCTCAGTAAAATTATTAAGGTTAACATTTTCGTTACCTGACAATGTATTCCAATACATATTCACTTCCCATACTTCCCAATCGTCCTCCCCACTTCCAGTGCACTTTCATTTTGCCTCATCTAAGAATGAAGTTATTTCAAGCACAAGCACTTAGGGGAGTTACTGTACTAGGAGGATGTGCCACCCTTTAATTTGGTGGAGGGCTATAGTCACATGATGATGATGTCATCATGCACTAGTGCAGTTCATGTAAAACATATGATTTTTAGGTGGGAATCCCCTCCAGGCCATAGATATGTAAGTTCAATAGGCAGATACTGAGCTATTCTGTGTGTAGAGATGAGGTATCATCTTGAAATTATGCTTATAATTATATCTAGCAGTTAGTAAATATTCACATCCTTGAATTGTGAATCTTGGAAAGAGAAGCAAAGAATAAGTGAAGGTCAAGTTATTTCTAACATTTACAATTTTTAAGATCACTTACAAATACAAAATGAGTTATTCTCACTATTTATTTATTAGTCCCAAAAAAGCTAAATAACTGAAACTAAGAGATCAAAATAAGTACTACTATGAATATAACACATAATAAAAACTTACTGCAACATCATCATCTTCACAAAGGTCTAATTGGGCATCAATAGCTTTGTCCACAAGATGTGGGAAGTTCTTAAAGAAACGGGTTATGAATTGTGAAGCTAGGCGCTTTTCATTTCCAGAGCCTTTGACAGCTTCTAGTATTTCAACATATTCTTTTTCATGCTAAAAAGAAAAAAGAAAAATTATTTCAAAGACATAAAAAAAATACCTTACTTAAGAATAAAAACTTTCACTCGGCACTAGTAGTAAGAATTGGTTATAAAAATCACATCTGATAACTGATTAGATGTAACTAAATAATAACTGATTATTTGTAGTAATATAAGTATTAAAAGAATAAAATACAACTATTTATTAAATAGCATTAGTTAAATAACAATACTTATGAATATTATTGAAAGTTTTCTTAATTAGTCATTGTTGGTTTCAGCATTCACCGCCATGATAGCATGAAATAGATTTCTCTAATCTCAAATCTGCATTTACATGTCAACTCATTAACCAATCACAAATGCTCATGCAAATAGTGGCAATGTATGTCCATAACTTGAAACATAATTAATACAAGTGAAAGAGGAAAGAAATTTTTACTGGGAGGTTTTCCCCCCCAGTGTGGTTTCATTTAGATGCATAAAACACTTTAGGACAGAATGGATAATAAAGGATAAATTTTCTGTTTGATATAAATGATTAATAATTGATCATCAAATTATTAACCAAATGCTTGGTTAATGCCAGAGAATTACTAATTTTCAGTGCAATCCATGACTGTACACACCATTACTCATTAATGAATTATCCTTGATACAAAAATAACATCTGTATGTAATTCTGAGGTTTTAATGTATAGAATCTAAATAAGAGAATTATAAAGCCACCACCCAACAAAATAAATGAGCTTGAATTAGATCTGAGCAACTTAATTAATTAATTAATCAATATCATCAATTAATGTCAAGTAAAATAATCAATTAATCAAAATCAGTGTTTTTGGCTATTCCAACAATTGAATAATTTAAAAAAGTGGAATGAATTCTAGGCATCATATTTAGGGCCTACATAGTGGTGAGGATACATTATAAAACAATCTCCATTCACAAGCTTCACACAAAATGAAATTATAAGTCACAATCACTCAAGAGCAAAGCTTCTGAAATTCCTTTTTCTTCACAAGAAAATATTATGAGTTCACAGTTACTTACTTTAGAATTTTTAACAAAAGTACTTCTTTCTAGAATATACCTTTTAGTTGTGACTTAAATACACGTACTTAATATTTTCATAAAATCATAGAAAATATCATGAAATTTTTATTAAAGCTCAAAACAGCAATTGTAAAACTGTTACAGCAAATATATTTTCATATTATAGACTAATTCAATCATGATATATCTGTTATTCTCTTATCACTACCTAGTGACTAGCACATGTTAAACAGCATGAATGACTACTTAATAGAAGTAACTGAAGACAATTTATCTATATACTGGTGTGGGGGAAAGAAAGAAGCATTTCATGAAAGTGTCCAAAGAACCCCTTAAAACAGGAGATCCTCACATTAGAGACCACTCCACTTCTGTACCAGGTATATTCTTTGTCCAGTGTGGAAAGAGGTGATTCAGACATAGGCAGAAAATAGGAAGAGCACATTCAAAAGGTAGAGAACAATGGTTGGATAGGGATCTGAAACACACAATATCTGAATCTCAATCCCATAAATTACATGAATGTGGGTGAGAGCAAAAAGAATGTGTCCCTAGATGTATAGTGGCTAGGGCTTGATGGACTATACACAGCAAGTTAACTGCATCCAAAACCCAACCCCCAGGAACCAACATCCACATGGAGGTAGCATGAGGATCATACCTGTGGCAAGTCAACTACAATCCAAAACCCAGCTATTGAGAATCGAAATCCACATGGCAGTAGGAAAGAGGATCATTCTAGTGGCAAGTCAACTGCAATACAAAACCCTGCCATCTGGTGGGGGTAGGAAAGAGGATCATACCATCTTCACCTCAAGTTCAGAAAACTGGAGGGAAATCTTATACCCATCTGTGAACGGGACACATGATAGAAATATGATAAACTGTTTGACCAATCTGGGAACCCAATATCCAGACGATCAGCATTAAGAAAGAAGTTCCCAAAAAGTAAACAATCCCCCTCAAAAACAATCTGATAGGAACTAACCCCAGTACAAAAAATCCTTGGTATATTAAAATCATCGAGGAATAGTGTAAGAGGAAGAACCCTATTAATTAGCAATTGCCACCACCATGACCCACAACACAGGTGAACTGAACAAGAGTATAATTGAGTGATGGGAACAAAAACACTTGTAATACGTATGTGAAGAGTTATGTTCATTGGTTTAGCTCTGAATCCAAAACCGGCCACTGGAAACCGACATCCATGTGGAGGTAGGAAGAGGGATCCCAAACAAAGTGGTGAACTGCAATTTTGATGGCTCACACCACAAAAGGTAGAAGATAAGAGACAGAGTGCTACAAACAATGGGTGTGAGCCATCAAAATTGCAGTTCACCACTTTGTTTGGGATCCCTCTTCCTACCTAGATATTTTGAAGTATTGGACTTTGGCATATCCATGCTTCATTTCTCAGTTTTGGTGCTCTTACAAAAGGTAGAAGATAAGAGACAGAGTGCTACAAACAATGAAAAGCACCAAAACTGAGAAATGAAGCATGGATATGCCAAAGTCCAATACTTCGAAATATCTAGGGAATCAAGATATGTAGTCCAACCTACAAGAGAAGCATCAGTGAAAGACAGAAGACCCGAGGAGGAGACAGAAGAGGAACACTTGCAATACGATGGTCACTGTCCCACCATCATGCAACATCAGACCTATGGAAAGAATGAAATAGAACCAGATAAACCAAGGAATCCAAGCAGAGGTGCCATCAATCAAGGAATACCCATCAAAGGTAATGTGCAAGTGTCAAGGATGGGTATGAGAGCAACCAACGAAGCCCGAATCCCCAAAAGAGATACAATTTCTCGAGGTAGAGAGGAAAGAGCCTTCAAGACTAAATGCTCCATATCCCAAATACCAAGTGGAAAATGATGGGTCTAAATGATGTTGGGAAGTGAAGAAAATACCCAAAGAGAACCACAAACAGGGAAAGGAGAAAAATCCCTCGTATTGAAGAACCAAGTCACACAATCTGCCGCCTCAAGGAGCAAACTGATGTGAACTGAAGACAGGAAAACGAAAGTCAAAAGAAATCCAACCAATATTGTCTCTCTTTTTCTGCTAGGCCCAGAAAAGAATAATAATGACAACAATCCAGGCATGCAGAAAAAGAAGTTTGATCATGACCACTCAAGAACTGTTGAGGCTCAATGGTTCAAGGACTTTACATGGTTAGTAGATGATCTGCTAAAATGCTCTGTGTGTGTGTGTGTTGAAGCTAAAAAATACATCTTACAGACCAGTGCATGTTTAGTACAATTTTACACTATTGCAGCAAATTATTGCTCACTATCTTAGTCATATAAATTTTTATGTAAAACAGTACTTATGATTATTGCCAGTGCAATGCTACATACTAGTAGTAATTTAGTTTATGTCTAGTCTTGTTCATGTATTAATTTACAACATAAAAAAGTTCCTGAGGATAAAATTTCTTGTCTTTTATATATATTATATAGTATAAATATTATTAGTATGGTTGCTTTGATAACAGACACCTCAAAGTTATCATTCTTACCTTCACATCTTCATTATAGTATAATACCACCTCAAATATAATACATTTACAATCAGCAGCTTCAATATACACATTAGCATAAGTTTAATACTTTTAAGTGGTGTGGCTAATGAAATATGTATTAGAGAAGTGGTGGTAAAAATGCCCATAAAAACCACAAAATGCTATATTTAAAGTTTGTATGCATCTCCCCTAGGACCCAATGAACCTCCGTACCAAATTTGGTGATGATACATCTACAGGGGGCAGAGTAGTGGTGAAAAAATGCAAAAACACCCATAAAAACTGCAATACTGAACATCTGTATGTACCCTGACACAGACGTAATGAACCTCCATACCAATTTTGGTGAAGATTCATCCAAACCCTGCGAATTAGTTACATGGAGATACAACAGAGAGTACTATTATATTTATATAGATAAATATTAACAAACTACTTTATGGAATCATTTCAAATGGTGAACTGAAATGCTTTTTGTCTTTATATAAATTTTACACACAATTTATGTTACAACTTCAATGGATATTATATGGTGTAATATATCAGTCATATTACAAGTGACTGGCTAACAAAAATTACAATTTTCCAATTAAAAAAAGCCAAAGAAATGTGAGAATTACTATATCTATATCAATAAAAATTATGATTAAATCAATCAATACAACAAATACAATTAAATAATTCAAATTAACATTTCCAGTTAGTACTGTTTTCAATTATTCTAACTATCCAAGTAATACAAATATTGCCATTATGAATTCTATAATTTTCAATTAACACATTTGTTACTATTTTAAATTATTCTAACTATCTAAGTCTCATATGAGAATAATCAATCAGTACAAGGAATCAATTACTCAGCCTGACAATTAACTGATTATCAAATTCCAATACTTTCCCAGCTCTATGAGTCATAATGTTAAACTATGCAAGTTTTAATTGTGAATAATTATATAACATTGAACATGTAACTGAGAAATCCTAGTGACATATGAACACTCTAAAGATCACAACTGTTTCCTACCTAAGACAAAAAGTTGGTACGAGTTCCATATGGCA